GATTCAGTCTGTTCCCATAATGCTTTAATCTCGATTCGTCGTCGCTGAATGTTTAATTTTGAAGCAAAGCTGCAAATCGCATTTCCAGGTGTTATTGCATGAACGAGACAACGAGCACCCCAATCTTCTGAAACTTATTTTTATGCTGACTGGATTCGCACTGATTGGAGGGCTGCGATTTTTCGATGAACATTCACACGAACATTCTTATGGATCTCATGAAAAATTGGCTGCCACTTCCGCATCACCTTAGTCTCTCATCGGCACAACTTCAATGCCGGCAGCAAGAATTTATACTTCCAAAGAGTCCGTTTTTGTAAATAAGACGGTAGGCTCTTCAGCCTTTACTTATTGTTGTTTCAGTCCGGTCCTTTTTTTTGATAGCTGGTTAGAATCATTTCTTCCGTGTTTTTCTAATATTGTCGTCGAACTTTTGCTTTATTGGATGGGATTCTTCAAAACGGGGATCTTGTTTTATATGAACTACAACGTATTTTTATTATCATTTTATGTTGATAGTTTATATTTTTTTAAAATTATATCCTTTTGCTAACCTGTTGCCCGCCGATCCCAGTACGCATTGCACCTAGAACTTTTCATGTACAGTCGAAGATGTATCATATTCCCCGTTGATCATCTTATCACTACTTTTCATTTTTTTGAAGGGGAATTAGAAGTATCACGAAAGAAATGCGTTTTGTAAAAACAACAAACTGAGTTGCATTTATATTTTATGCTGGTGATGTGTCCCGGTATGCGTTCATCCTAGAACTTGCTGCACAACGTTAAACCGGAACGCCTCACAGGTTTCGAAGTAGAGTTGGGCGCCGAAAAGCTGAGAACTTTCTCCTGGCCAAAAATTTTTTACTTGGTTTGTGTTTGTATATGGGTGGAGGATTCCGGAAATTTTCATTAACTGGTAGTATTTTCTGCAATTATAGCCATTCGGTGGCATTAAGCGTGTATCGAAGTGTCCTGTTATCATTTGTAGTACTGAATGTTACAGTTTTTTCTACATTTTATTGCTTTAATATGCTTTTCCCACATTCGGGGAAAAAGCTGGAGATTTTCGAGACGGTCCTAAAATTCAAGGACTCGTGTGTGTTTCTATCACTGACTTGCTTGACCGGTTTATCATTGTAGTGTGAGGGATTATACAACATATCATCAGGTTTGGCACCGGTAGCAATGATTGTAAAGAAATAACGCTGTCTTCACATGCTACGTAATCCCACTGAATTTGTAGAAATAAACTCGTTTGGTCGTTTTTGTCTAGTAGAACTGACAACAAACACATTCAACCGGTTCATTTAGCGCACTGAAGCATCTCAAAATTTTTGATTTTACAGAAAACCAAGACAGCTGCACTATATGAGCTGTACCCCTCTCCTTCAACAGAAAATGCCCACCACACAAAATGCTAATCTGCACTACGGGAGATACAAAGAACTTTCTGCCCAATGTATCAGTGGATGACGATACAGGCACCACAAAACTACAAAATGGAGTAGTTGCACGATTAATAATGATCATAATGAATTGAGCATGAATACACTGACGACAGTCAGAGCAGGCGAGAGCGGATGATCATTGTGATCGGACCTTGCGGGCGCGACCGCAGCGTCTTGGTCGCTTCCAGATAGCTCATTCCAGTAACATCGATGCCATCAATTGCCAAAACCTGGTCACCAACCTTCACGCGACCGCTTCGTGCTGCCGAACCTCCTAAAGCACAAATTACATGCTGGTGTAGGAAATATCTGCCAAATTTGTCGGTTCAATTTCGCTGGAAGAACTGCTAACGTAAGCCTCAGGACATCACCAAAATGCAGCCACGGGATGTGCGCAGTTAAATCCTAAGACACTACCCACCTCCAGCATGCGTATGCATCTGCATCTTGACCTTAATAGCTATTTTATGTATCCAAAGCAAAACTGGGCGATGCCCAACAGTTATACGCCGAGTGGCCAGCGTTTCTTGCTCCACTGATTCCACTTATTCCGACGGTCAGTAGATATCAGTCAGGTGTTTTCCATACTTTGAAACGGGAACATGTGCTTAG